AAAAAAAAAAAAAACTAGATGAATAAGTTAACTAACACAACCATAAACAAGTTCATACCTATCTTATAACAATGGAACATGAAGCAACCAAATCAATATCATCGGTACTATGTATATAAGTGTACTTGCTTGCCTTAACAGCTTATCTATCTATATCTCTACAAGTATACTTGTTAAGCCAATATAACATGAGAATGATTTTACCATCAATGAAATATTAAATGTATATAATAAGATTCAAAAGCAATGATAAGCTGGAAGATTAAGAAATCTATATTATAAAATCAATTTAACACTTAACAAAAGTTATTTATACCAACATAATTGTTTCTCTTGGTGACAAAGGACAAATTAAAAATAATATTATATATTCTGAAATCAGTCTGAAATCTATTTCTGTCTATATTATATTTTTGATGCTGTGAGTTCAAGCCCCACCTATATAAATTCTTTATTTGTTATCTGTGATAAACAAAGCATGTAATGGTAGTACACTGATTAACCACAGATTAGAAAAATTGTCTAGTGCAAATCGGACACATGCACTAACACCATAAGATAACATGATAATAAATTGACTAGCCTTGATCAGAATTACAAATAAGTATCCTCTATGTTCCATAATAATTCCTATTTTTTTTTTCTTGTTGTTTACTTGATATATCTTCAATTTCTATGATTCATTCTTGTGGGTATAGGCTGAGTAATACTCAATGCAAGTTAAATATATCACCATACACACAAATACTTTAAAATGACAAGTTAGATAAGCCTGATAGACCATCAAATACTGAAGATAAGAATAGCATGAATGATAAAGCATAACTCAAAGTTAGAAACCATTTTATTTACAACTTCGTAAATGTGAATGATTTTATTATAACTGTAATAATTTACATTATGAATAATCAAAACTTACCATATTTACGTTGAGCTGATATCATGTGAATATAGTCCATGATAGGTTTCTTCTTATTAAACCTTTTACCAATGTAATATTTCAGATACCTAAAACAATAATATTATTGAGTATTTTTTAAATAAATTACCATACAGTTAAAAACAGTATGCCATTTAAATTTAATGTAAATAATCACATCATAGTCACATATCAAAAGCAAACGGCATAATGCGGAATAAAACCGAAAAAATTTAATGTGCCTGATATATGTTATTAAAAAGCTGTAGGTATCCATAAAATAAAATATATAGAAAGAATACCTGGCAGTCAAAGGTGCCATTTCAAAAACTTGCTTCACATTGGGTATAATCAATTGTTTGCTTTGTATCGGGTACTCATGGTCCAATGGTAATTTTAATCCGTACTTCGGAGGCTCGTGGAGGCCTAATCCGACATCGCCGACTGTTTCCATTTCCATGATGTTCAACACTTCGAAAATATATTCTAAGTCCGGGAATGTCTTTAAGACTAATCCCCTTAAACAGTCTTTTAATCGATTCGTTCTAGCACATTATTTTCTAACTTTTCTCCCAAAAATAAAATAGCACAACAATTTTAATGTTTAGACGTATCACTATAAATTGAATAAAAAATTATACAAAATTGTGACTTGTTTTCAGGTGATAATTATTGATAATCTTGAAATTGTATTTCTCACAGTCAACAAATCCTTGTTGTAACTTGAAAATCGAAAACAGTGACAAGAGAATGCATCTCTGCCACTACGAAATCTACAAATCCCAATGAAAGAAATAATGAATGTGAATCAGGAAAAGTCACTTGACCCAGTTGACTGACTATACTGATTGACACTGACATATCTTTAGGTGCTGAAAGAGCTTTTTCAAAATTTCTACCAGAATACCTAAAAATCAATTTAAAATATAAAAAGGACCTTCTTAATTTTTGTAGGTAGGTATTTATATAATTGCAGCATTGAGTAGTGCGACATACTGTACTGATATACTACAGCCTAATCACGTAAATTATTTTTCAATTTTTAGCAACCACAGTCAGCTTTATGCAACAAACAATATGTATTGTACCTACTAATCTACTAGATGCATCTAGGTAGATGCCTAATTTTTATTTTAATGTTTGTCTGGTAGATTATTTTAAATCATTAAACACCTATTTTTTATTTTCTTATAGAAACTAATACTTTCGACGATATATTGATTTTAAGTGGTAGATTAGCGCAATTATTAATTGTTATTTAAGAATCGCAATGAAATTCGATTTGTTTCAGCCTTAAATACTTATACTTTGTTCAACTTACTCTAAAAAGTGTACCTCTTAAAATTATAGTAGTGATTATTTAAGTATTATTTGACTTAAGGCGGCAAAAACATTTGAATGTTATTGTATATTTTCTGTAATACTACCATTTTTACAAAAAAATTGACGCTTGCAGCACTGCAAAACAAATGCCAATAGCATAGACTATACAATTTAAACTAAATGTAATATGACAGCAAGAAGTTATTAATTGGTTGAATGAATGAAAAACTTTATTAATTGATTGATTATATGTGATAAGTCTACGACAATATCTGTTTTCAGCCAAAGTACGTATAGCTGGTAACTATAGTTGCTTTCTTAATTTATCATACCCAGCTTTTCTGCAAGTGGGTTGCTACTTATAAAAAAAATGATCGCGTTGCTGTCAAGTTTGTAACTACATCTGTCTCTGTCAGGTTTACTCTTTATTGTTGGACTATTATTTATATTAAAATCAATAGGATCTCTATTAATAAAGTTTAAGTGATGCCGAACATAATTGATCAATCTAAATGATGTAATTATAAAAAAAATGGTAATCATATACCTTATCGAAGTTGGCGTGAAAGGTTTCTGAAGTTTTCGTAAATAATAAGATAAAATGGATATCCCTGTGCAAATAGCCGTAAGGCTAAAGCCTCCGAATTTAGAGGACTCATCACAGTGTATATTTAGCAATCCTGTTACACAAATTGTAATCACTGAGAGTGGACAGACATTTCATGTGAACCGGGCTTTGCCAGTGGATTGCACTCAGGCAAACCTCTTCAACTCGTTCATGATACCACAGATCAACTGCTTCTTGGATGGTTGTGATACTTCAGTCGTTGTATTTGGACAGGCTAAGACGGGCAAAACCTACACATTATTTGGACCAGGTTAGTTGCCATTGTTGTAAAACTGAATGCATATTGTTTATTACATGTCTCAAACGAATGGATATGGCATGCTTCAAATAATGGTCAAACATATTTTTAGTGTGTTAAAACTGTTAAGCAATTATGATAAATATTATTATATACTGATATGTCAATGATTTTTTTCTTTATTTAACTCGTCGAGTACCGTCATTATAGAACAATAGGTTGCGGTCACCGGTGACCGCTTGGTGTTTGACAGTTTAATTACATATAGGAATCAAACCTTATAAACAAAACTTTATATTGTTTCAGGATTTGAATGTATCCACAGTGAATGTGACCAAGGAATTGTGCCTCGCTTTTTATCTGAAATATTCCATAAGCTCAATCAGATGCCAGAGAGAGAATTTATACTACACATAACTTGGATGCAAGTAGTTAATAATAACATATTTGATGTACTGGGAGCAGGGTTAGTGAGGTGCTGCAATGTTGAAGAGGCATTCCAGTATTTACAGTTGGGATGGCGGCAGAGGTGTCAAGGAAACAACCACACCGTGTTCACAGTCAGTGTTGAACAGAAATGGGTCAGCACCAATGGTGTATTAAATCATAGAATGTCTACTGCAAGCTTCTGTGATCTTGCTGCCTACCCAGAACCAGGTCTATTTGCCCTGGAGAATATCATTAAAGAACTTCTAGCAGGCAACCCACCAAAACAAATAAACTATGACCAGTGCATCCTCACAGCAATGCTTAGAGACTCCTTCGGTGGCAGAGCTTTCACTTGGGTTATTGGCTGTATAAGTGCAGAACCAGAAGACTATCAGGACACACTGAAAACTTTAAACCTTTGCTTGTGCTGCAGAGGCATCAAGAACTTTGTTACTGTCAACCTATTTGCTGACAATAACACCCCTGTGTATACAGAAAAATCAATGTTACCACATGCAGACAATAATTTTAATTTACAATTTGCCACAACCCAGTGGATTAAGCTTGTCTCAAATGCAGAGGGGCTTTTCAACAAAATTCTTCAGTCAAAGTCCTTGTCTGAAGCTGATATTAATCAAGTAAGTGAATGGTTGTTCTTAAAAGCTGAATGTGATGAATGTTTGAATGGTGATACTGGTGTAGATAATAAAGATGCAAATATAAAACAAGGTCTGCCTAGGATTGCTGAAGACACAGAGCCTAGTGAACCCAGTGAATCAGATGTGGACTCAGATTCAGAGGAAGATACTCATTCTGACACAGTATTCCAGGACAAACTTGAGAAATTTATGGAGTATTTTAGAGAAAAGAATGACCAACTGTTTGCTGACAGATGCGAGGAATACTTGAACCACGTTGACTCTGATGATATCACAATATCAGAATTGAGTGGATCACAGTCTCTGCCTGTAATGACATCTCAATCAAATTCTGGGCGCAGAAGGACTATACAACCTGGTGAAAGTCTGTCTGGAGCTGAGTTAGAGTTACTGAGAAAAGTTGCAGCTAAAGCAATCTCACCTGAATCTCAAAAGATACTTATAGAATCTCACAAAAAGGATGTTGATCCAGAACCAAAATTAATTGAGAGAGAATTACTCAAAATGATTGATACCCCAAAGACTGATGAAATATGCAAGAAGTATAAAATGACAAAAGAAAAATATACTCAAAAGCAGATACTGGCAAGGAAGCTTTCAAAAGAAATAGGAAGCAGCCAGTCACAGCTAAAAGAACTGATAAATCTGTGTATAGCCAAAGAGAGACTGATAAGTGACTTGTCTAAATCAATGAGTCATACACAAAACAAGCATTATTCTGATAAAATAGAGAGTAGTTTGATTGACCAAGACACAATGAGAGAGATAAAGAGGCATGAGACAAACCTCAAAACTTATAAAAAGCAAATCGAACAAATTAAAAGACAAATAAAGAAAGATGAAAAACGTAAAAATACATTAGATGTAGAACTTGTTAAGGATAAGTTGAAGCTGGACGAACTCTCAGACACTTCAGTAGATGTTAAGGACAGGAAAACACACTCACTAAAACACTTTACACATAGAATTACTCAATTAGACAGTATTTTGAAAGAAAAGACTAATGATTTGGAAACTTTAGAGATGTCCAAAGAAAAGGAATTATTATTAAGGAAAGAAATTAAAAACCTGAGGAAGACGAGGGAATGTTTGCATGAACAGAGGTGCAGTTTAGGCCATAAGAGAAAAATTTACAAATCTCTGTCAGATTCTGAGGTAAGCATAAAGTCCTTTGATTTCCATACATTATAATTCTGTCTATTATAAAAAATATAAAATTCAATCAAGGATTTGCAATTAAGCCTAGACCACTGAGTAACTATGTAAATGTCACTTAGTTTCCTCAGCTTGTGACTTGCAACCACTACTACCACTAGACCAAGAAGCATAACATAACATCACGCCTTTTATCCCCTAAGGGGTAGGCAGAGGTGCACATTAAACCACTGTACAATGTAACACCCACTTTTCACTATTTATGTTATGAGTCCCATGTAATAGGGGGTGAGCCTATTGCCATATA